ACACTTGGCTCAGGTGATGTAACAGTTGCTCTGTGGCCCATTTTCATGCTTTCACAAGGACCCTGAAGAGAGGTAGCTCTGGTGACATCTGGTGATCCAAACCATGCTTGCATATGACTTGGGGCAGTGGGGTTGGTCTGGAAAGTCTGCTAGTATGTGTCTGTATACAACAGAAAATGATGTCAGAAACATTTGGTTTTTTCTTTACAAAAATAAAACAGTATTTTTTCATATTAAAACTCCTGATTCTTTGTCCATTAGCACAATCTGTTTAGGATGCTAAGAGACAGAGCAGTGTATAGGCCCCCGGTAACTTTGCCTCTGGTTTGTATAAAACACGTCTCTAAAATAACCCCATAGAAACGTTACTTGTGCAAACGTTACTTGTTATTGTTAGTCCTGGATTCCATGTGACCCCAAGCACAGGAAGACAAAACACTGCCTGCTCTTGCCCTATCCCTATCATTGGTTGCAGATCACAATGTGTGTAAACTACAGGGTTTTCATTGGTTGATTTTCAGGAGCAAATTGTCAGATCTTTCTTCCTAATCCGTCGTAGACTAGAAGCTTCACTGAACAACATGCCAGCCTCCACTGACAGATGGGTGGTGTATGGAAGGTGAAGCTTCGGCCACTGAACCACCACAGTGCCTAGCTTATTCTTGTTCAGTGTCGTAGGGTCATTTCCAACTCATAGCAACCCTGTATAGGTTTCCAAGGCTGTAAATCTTTATGGGACCAGGAAGCCTCATCTTTCTTTCACAGAGTGGTTAGCAGTTCAGTGCTTAATCTATAGCACTTCACCAGGATTCCTACCTTTCATGTTGGTACTTATGAAATAAATAAACAATACTTGTGAAAATGTAAATTCTGACTCTACAAGATATACATTTTAGAAAGAAGCTTCTTTTTTTGTCCACAAAATGAGATCCTACAAAGAAGGGAGGGGATCTCCTATCTCCTTGGTTTGTCTTTTCTACCTCTGTGCTGCAAAATAGACAAGTGTGACAAAATAATATTTTGAGATATTAAATGATATTTCCCCCTTTCCTGTTCCTTGTTGAACCAGGGGAAATATGTGACAGAACACTATGAGAGGGCTCCAAAAATTTTATGGAAAAATAAGATGAAAACATCATGGATTTTTTCCACAAACATTTTGAAGCCCCCTTGTATAAAATAGCCCTTAAAACCTGTGACCAGTAAATGGAATCAGGCCTGCACACCAAGTCAATCTGAAAAGTGTTTCCCAAATTTGAATTTATAGAAATTTAAAACCTGGGAGATTTCACAAAATCTGTGCTTCAGGCCTTCTTTTTTCTTTTTCTTTTTTTAAGTGAGACGATAACTTGAGCAACCTAGTTTGCACACTTGGCATCGAACAGTGGCTCTGAGCTGCAGCTGTTGCATTTAAAGTAGCTCATGAATTAGGATCACATTAATTTTGGTGTGGCACTGTGGGCTAATGCATCAGACTGCAAAGTCGTTTGAACTGCAAGGTAGGTGGTTCAAGCTCACCAGCTGCTCCTTGGAAACCCTATACAGGGTTGCTATGGGTCGGAATCAACTCAAAGATACTTAGCAACAACAACAATCATTGTAACAAAGCCCTCGAAGATCGGTGGCATAATCTAAAATAAATTGATTTCTCACTTATATATGATAATCCAAAATAGATGATTCAATTCAGCCCATGTAATGAGAAAAAGACAGGGGAGAAGCAAGCCTGCTTCTCAACCATCTTGGCTTCAAAGCGACATAACATCCCCACTCACATTTCCAACTAGATGCAAGGGAATCTGGGAAATGTGGATTCTGGATGGACAGCTACTTCCTTACCAGTTGCTTGTTGTCAAACCTATGCCGACTCATGGCCACCACATGCGTTGCAGAGGAGAACTGCATTCCACAGGGCTTTTAAGGGTTGAGAAGTAAATCATCAGGCCTTTCTTTTAAAGCACTTCTAAAGGAGCTCTGGTAGCGTAGCGGTTACGAATCTGGCTATGAACCTCAAGGTCAGCAGTTTGAAACTACCAGCTGCTCCGCGGGAGAAAGATGAGGCGTTCTGCTCCCGTAAGGATTTACAGCCTCGGAAACCCTGTACAGGGTCGCTATGGGTCGGAACCGACTCGACGGCACTTAACAACAACAGGTGGATTGAAACCACCAACCTGTCCTGCTGACATGAACTATTAACCTTACCTGTTGTTGTTTGTTGTGAAGTGTTGTTGAATCGGTTCCAACCCACAGCTACCCTGTATAGGGTTTCCAAGGAGAGACTGGTGAGCTCGAACCACCAAGCTTACGGTTCAAAGCGACTTTGCAGTCCAGCGCATAAACCCACAGCACCATACTTTACCAGTACCACCTTGCAATTCTGTAAATCCCTGAAACTGAGTCCCACCCAGTTGGGTTTAGGAACTTGGTTTGAATGGCAAGTTCAGCGGTTCAAACTCACCAGTAACTGCTAAGAAACCCTATACAGGGTCACTTTGGGTCAGAACCGACTTGACGGCACTTAACAACAACAACAACTACAACTGAAGATGAAAGGTGACTTTGCCACCCGTCCAGGTGATTCACTGCTTTGTTGTTGTTAGGTGCCTTTGAGTTGGTTCTGACTCACAGCAATCCTAGGTAAAACAGAATGAAACATTGCCTAGTTCTGCATCATCCTCTGGATTGCTCCCAGGTTTGAGCTCATTGTTGTAGCCACTGATTAGTTTGCTAAACGTCTAAAATCACAAAAAATAATGTGACGATTCTTACATACCTAAGTTTGTGGGCTGAGAGTCATAAGATGTGGAGGTAGGCAGTAACCTTGTTTGGCTTAACTTTTTCTAGAAACTTTGCCCTCTTAACTCCCAGATCCCAAACAGTATGCACCCTTGCTCCCACTGCCACCCCATCCATGTACTCTCAACCAAAAGCAAACAAAAGTCAAAACTCCGAAAGATCCATGGCAAATCTTGTCAAACTGGGTTCTTTTTTAAACTGTGCCTAGTGTTAGAGAAACTTCTAGCACTAATATTAAGTATTATGCTTTTTCCTGGAGCTCCAATTTTACTTAAAAAGAACAGAACTGTAGTTTTTCATATTAACCGGGCTATTAGGGGTAGACTGCAAAATACATATAATTAAAAAACAAAGCAAAACGATGAAATTCTGACTTTAAAGGAACTCCTTTCTTGTTGGGAAGGGGCCAGCCCTGCCTGCTTCAGGACTCCTTGTGGAGCTTCATCGAATTCTTATGAGAAGGACTTTTGTGTGGGAAAGTTTCAGCAGCTCTGGCACAGTGCCCGGCCTGGCTCAGACCGACCTTCTTGGCTGTCTGGGGCTGAGGCTCCCTGTGGGTATTGGGTTCTTGTTAATATCTCCTCACGTTTCTAAAACTCACAGCTTGTCAGCGCTGGTGTAACCTGAGAGTTGTGGCTACAGTCTAACTCGCTGGTTTCACAAAAGAGAAAATGGAGTATAGAGACTTTAAAGAACTTGCCTGGGGCATCCAGGCTTTCTAGGTCAGTATTCCCACCAATGCCCTTGGCTTTCATCCTTCAGGACTCCCTTAGTTATCCCTCGACCATATTCCTTGACTCATAGTTACATCCTCCTGGGAGCCCTGCCTCTCCACTGAAGTATCTGGCGCCATTGGGGATGCTTTAAAAAGTTCCGTGAATTAATGACTACTGATTCTGTATGACTACTGATTCTGGAACAGAGACCTAGTGGCGCGGTGGTGGTTAAAGTGCCTAGTGGCTAACAGTAAAGGTGGGTAGTTCAAACCTACTGCTCCCCCCCCCCCCCCCCGTAAATCCTGGTGTGGCTCTGTGAGCTAATGCGTCAGACTGCAAAGTCGTTTGAACTGCAAGGTCGGTGGTTCAAACTCACTAGCTGCTCCTTGGAAACTCTATACAAGGTCCCTATGAGTCGGAATACAATCCATGGCACTTAACAACCCCCCTGTATGGGAGTTTTGATGTGGTGCTGTAAGATCAGCACTAAACTGCTAACCACATCGGTTTAAACTCCTTGGAAACTCGGTGGTTCAAGCTCACTAGCTGCTGCTTGGAAACCCTATACAAAGGTCGCTATGAGTCAGAATTGAATCATAGACATCCAAGAGCTCTTTGTGAGCCCTGGTGTGGCGCTGTAGGATAAACATTTGAGCTACGCCTCATTTATACAGGGTCGATATGAGTGGGAACGTTGCACACAACAACCCCCTATATTTAGTCCTGGCGCGGCTCTAGGATAAGCACTGGAGTGGTAACCTTAAGGTCGGTGGTTCAAACCTACCAGCCGCTCTCAGAAACCCGATACAGGTTCTCTGAGTCGGAACCAACTAGACTGCACTTAACAGCAACTCTCAAAGTAAAGCCCTGGTGGTGCAGTGGTTAAAGAACTCGGCTGTTAACCAGAGAGTCTGCCCCGCTCTGTAAGAGAAAGATGTGCCAGTTTGCTTGTCTAAAGACTACAGCCTTGGAGCAGTTCTACTCTGTTCTACAGGGTCGCTAAAGGTCGGAATAGACAGGACAGGGAAGAGTTTGGCTTTTTTCGGTTTGCTTCTGGAACAAATGCATCCAAGTCCAGTTCAGGTGAAGGAGAGGTGGATGAAGGGGCCAGGGCAGGACGACTGATTTGCTTGTCGCCACCAACTGTCTAGAGAGAATGGGCTAAGTCAGGGTTGAGGGCACCGAGGCGAAAACGCAGGTTGGCCAGGGCAGCCCCTTCATGCCGCCCACGATCCTCGGGAGAGCCGGCAGGCGAGCAGGATGGATGGTGCAATCTCTCGCGTGTCTTGCGCGGATCGAAAAGGGGAGTTGAAAAAGTAAATGCGGGGAGGAGCAACTGCGTCCAGGCCTCGGCTGGTTATTGCGCGACCAATGGAAATGAGAGCCCCATCGCGGGAACCAATAAGCGCAAGGCCTGCAACAGCGCGGGCCATTGGGGAAGCGGGTTTGGGGGGCAGGCCGCAGTGTGACTCCGCCGCCGCCGCCAGGTTACGCGAGCTACCCACGCTATCGGTCCTTCTAGAGTCTCGCAGCCGGGCCGCCACACCATGGATACCCTGAGACAAGTGGTCAATTTCGGGCCTGGGCCCGCCAAGCTGCCGCACTCCGTAAGTCCCCGCGAGCGTGCGCCGACAGTGCGATGGGGCGGGAGCACACGTGGCTATGGGTTTGCATCCCTACAACGGACGCTAGGATCCATCCTCCCTGCCCAGAGTCCTCGCTAACGCTTTGCACCCAGAGGACGCCGGGCTCAGGAGCTCTCGAGGGCGGGCTTCTAGAAGAATGCACTCGGAGAGCCATGGCTGTGCAGCTGCTGCTGGCATTAACTGCTGCTATTCGAGGCATGCACTCGGCCCGCTGCGGCGTGCTGTCAGCATCCGGATCACATACCTGCAGACTCGGGTGCCCTGGCGGGCGGACGGGCGTGCTGCTTTAAAGACAAAGCTTTTATCACTGCGATCGCAACGCCAGGCAATGCTGCGAGCCTAGGCAGGGTCGAGCGCATTTTTGAACGGACAGAGTGTGCTTACGTGAATGGATGGTGACTTTTACAAACCGCGATCGGGGAATGCACAGTCTGCAGTTTGGCCTCCTCACTGACCTGTTTAGCCAAAACTTAGAGACTTTGCTTTTGAAGAATTTACGTTTGAAAGGCATTTCGTCTTTTTACTCTTTAGGAGTCCTGGTGTGGCGCTGTAGAATAAGCACTGGGCTGCTAACTGCAAGGTCGGAGGTTCAAACCAACCAGCCGCTCCTTGAAAACCTTATACAGGATCGCTATGAGTCGGAAAAAGGAGCTCTGGTAGCGTAGTGGTTACGAATCGGGCTGCGAACCGCAAGGTCAGCAGTTCGAAACTACCAGCTGTTCCATGGGAGAAAGATGAGGCATTCTGCTCCCGTAAAGATTTACAGCCTCAGAAACGCTGTACAGGGTTGCTATGAGTCGGAACCGACTCCACGGCACATAACAACAACAACATGAGTCGGAAAAGACTCGTCAGCATAGAGACCCTATCCTTCCTTAAGCGTTTTCTCCATCTGCTTTACGCGTAGATTTTTGTTTTTTTTTAACCTGCTTGTTCCATAATGTTGGATTATTCAAATCTTAATGAGCATTGGGTTGCTGGCTCAGTACTCGGCATTTCGTTAGGGAGCGAATGGAATGATTAAATACCCCCACCCCCACACCGGACCATTGCCAGACCCTGTCGCCTAGGGAGGTTTTGGCTCCTCCTGGTTACTAACACTTGGTGCGCCGCCTTCGGGTACCCCTACATTCTGCAGCTGTGAAGAAAGCAAAGTCTTGAATGTGCTTTGAACCCACTGACAAGCTGCCACTACTATATTTTACTTTTTCTAACCAAATAAATCTGATAATGTGTCGTAGCGACATGGGGCATAGCCAAGTACTTTACAATTATCTACTGTTGAAGAGAGTAGAACTCTACTTGGGACTGACCCTTCTCTGTGTTTGGTAAGAACAGAGAATCCTGTGATTTTTACAGGAGGAAGGCCATGTTATGTTAAGTAGGAGCTGTTCTGAATAACAAAGAGCCAGGCTTATTTTTTTCTTAGTTATTTTCTATTTTAGTTGACGATATCTTTCTGAAGCTGTGGAAATTTCTCTCCTTCACTTTTAGAGTTTTCATTGTATTTGTTTTCTTTGTAGTTGGCTATTAATTTCTTCTAATGGCAATTGTCATCAGTACCATTATTTATTTGTTACTCGCTTCATATTTTCTATTCTATTCCACTCTAGTTGGTTTTATTTCATTAACAAAATTAGTTCTGATACACAAAAGTGATTGCAATATGCCGTATGAAACAAACAGACACAAAAACCCACTGGATTCAAAGGTTTTTTTTTTTTTTTTTTTTTTTTTAATTGGTTATTGTTGTTAAGTGTCATTGAGTGCATTTCAACTCATAGTGACCCTGTCCAGGGTTTCCAAGGAGCAGCTGGTGGGTTTGAATCATTGACTTTGTAGTTCACAGTTTAGTGCTTATTGTACAACTGCACCACACCAGGTGTCTTTAAAACTCTTTAATGATTTTGATAGTAAACTTCTTTGTTGTTGTCGTTAAGTGCTTTTGAGTTGGTTCTGAACCATAGTGACTCTGTATAGGGTTTCTGAGAAGTAGCTGGTGAGCTTGAACCACAGACCTTACAGTTTAAACGGCTTTGCAGTCTGGCACATTAAACCACTGCGCCATACCAGGACTCCAGGAACTTCTATTTTAAGGAATAAAGATATTCCTTAAAAAGATATCTTTTTAAGGAATACTGTTCATAGCAAAAATACAATTGTAAATCAGAAGTTCGAAGAGGATTCTATCAGAAAATTTCCCTTTTTTAAAGGAAAGACTTCATGGGAATTTGTTTGAGCAGTTATTGCTAATTAGCATTAAACTCTTCTCGAAGCAGTGGCATATACTTGAGCCATTGTCAAAACAATCTTTTTTTGTTTAATTCTTCATTGTCAAAATAGTGCTTTTTTTTCCCCCAGAAAAAGTCGAGAAATCCAGTTTATGTTATGTTTAAACAATGTCCTCCTTAGCCGATATATATATATATTTACATGGGAGAACATCGGCTTTACACCATCGTTTCAGTGCAGTGATTACATCTCCTCTGTGCATCATCATTCATCAATATTTGCTTCTATTCCCTCTGTGTTTTGTTTTTGTTTGGGTGTGTGTATGTGTATGTCGGGGGCAAGTATACAAAAACACTGAGGAATATATAATCATTTAAACAACCAAAGGGCACATTCTGTAAACCTGCCTCTTGCTTAGGATATCTTTTAAAGACACCTTTGTAGACATTGCTGAAGGTGGCATGCCTATACAAAAGGGTGGATGACACCTCTTTTGTGTTCATTTTTATTTTTAGAAATTTTCTTTTTCATATCCAAATTTTCACATACCCAAAGGCAAATAGAATAACATATTGAACCTCTATGGATCCATATCCCAGGTTTAACAACTTTAACATTTTGCCAATCTTCTTTCAGCATCCCGCACCCCTCAGAGTATTTTAAAGCCAATCACAGATATCCTATCATTTTACTCATAAATACTTAAACAAGCATCTGTAGTTGATAAGGGCTTCCTTCCTTTTTAAAAAAGACAAAGATAAGGATTTTTTCAGTTTGTAGTTATTTGAGTTTTGCATAACCTTGGAAGAAAATGCAAACAAGCCATGTAGTGTGAGCTGTGTTTTGCAAGGGAAGACTGAGTTGTGTGTGTCTCTCCTCCAACCCTATCCTGGGATTGGCCACCCGCTGGCTTCAGCCCGCACATTGTCCCTCACAGGTGGAATGTGACTATGAAACATCTCAGCTTGGTAGAACCACCAGGAACTATAATCAAGGAAAGGCCAGGGGGCTGACTAAGGGCATCAAAACCAGTTGCCATGGAGTCAGTTCTAATTCCTGTAGATTCCATCCGTGTGTTGTCAGAGTAGAACTGTGCTCCATAAAAAAAAAAAAAAAATCAATGGCTGATTTTTTGGAAAGTAGATCTCCAGGCCTTGCTTCAGGGTGGATTTGAACCTCCCGCCTTTTGGATGTTGTTGTTAAGTGCTGTCTAGTTGGTTCTGGGAGTCCTGGTGTGGTGCTGTGGGTTAATGTGCCAGACTGCAAAGCCGTTTGAACTGCACGGTTGGTGGGTCAAGCTCACCAGCTGCTCTTCGGAAACCCTGTACAGGGTCGCTATGGGTTGGAATAGACTTGGCACTAAACAACAGCAGTTGGTCCTGATTCCTAGTGACCCTGTACTGCGTTTCCGAGGAGCCATTAGTGCTTCTTGTGGTCTAGTGCTTTATCCTACAGTTCCACACCAGGACTCTCTTTTTTGGTTTGCAGCCCAATTTAACTATTTGTACCAGCAGGGACTCTGGTCAACACTGGGCAAGTCTCTCAAACTCTCTGAGCCTCATGTGCAACATGGGGATAAGACTATCACCCTCTGGAAAAACCTGAGAATAGTGATGGTTGAACATGCTGATGATCATATTTAATGTCACTGAGCCATACAAGTGAAGAATGCTGAAATGGCCAATGTTTTGTTACTTACATATTTCACATATGTACACACAACAATATCTCCATCATGACTGTTGTTAGGACCAAAGGATATCACTATATCAGTTTCTCTGGGAGGAATCTGAATTCACAACAGGCATTTTCTTTTTCTTGTACAAACCTCTCCAGCCCCATCATTCCCTACCCCTGCCCTAGTGTAACACCATTAGATTAAGAAATATCTTAGAATTGAGTAATATATAAGGTGATGCTAAGGAAATCCTGTGGAGCAGTTCTACTCTGTAATAGCTGAGGCTGCCATGAATTGTACTTGACTAGGAGCTCTGGTAGCATAGTGGTTACGAATCGGGCTGCGAACCTTAAGGTCAGTGGTTCGAAACTACCAGCCGCTCCGCGGGAGAAAGATGAGGCTTTCTACTCCCGTAAAGATTTACACCCTTGGAAACCCTGTACAGGGTCGCTATAGGTCGGAACCGACTCAACAGCACTTAACAACAACAACAACAACAAGAGTCCTGGCTCTGTGGCTTAATGCGCCAGACCGCAAAGCTGTTTGAACTATAAGGTCAGTGATTCAAGCTCACCAGTCACTCCTCAGAAACCCTATACAGGGTAGCTATGGGTTGGAACCGACTCTATGGCACTTAATTAACAACAACAGCAAGACTAGATTGCAGTGAGGTTTTTTTTTTGCTCTAAGTAATTTGGGTCTAGTTCATTTTTTTCTTGTTCTTGAATTCCACATTTTATGCATTCAGTAACTTTAAGAGAATGAATGACTTTGAGGTTTGTGGAGGGGACATTTTATATAGAATCATGATTTTCCAAAAGGCCTTCATCTTGACATTTACAGAATTGCCATCAGAAAAATTTTATAGACAATTAAAAGAAAAATCGAAGTGAAATTTTGTATTTAAGCAAGTGTGTACCTTAAGACTGAACTGTATCTTAATGTCAACCGTGTTGTATAATTTCACACTCAACTTTTGTTACTGGCTGTGGGCAGTGGTGAGGACAGTCTCCTACCCTACTGTACAGTCTTCCGGAGGGGACTCCCCCCAAACACACACACACACACACACACACACACACATAGTCCTGAACTCTCTCAGGCCTGTTTGTTCAGAGGACCAGCTTTGCACAGCATACTGAAGTCATGTTATTTTCTTTTATGTTTTCTAGGTATTGCTGGAGATACAAAAAGATTTACTGAACTACAAAGGCGTTGGAATTAGTGTTCTTGGTAAGATCTACTTGCGGATTTTGTGAATGTCCATATTAAGGAGAGAACTCATTTAAATACATCAGGCATAGAACTACTATGCTGGAGTCTTGCTACAGGTCTTTGTAGAGAAGCTCTTAAACTTTAATAGTTTCCATTGCGTGTTTGTGTTTGATAAAAACAATACTGAAGCCAGCATTTAAAGGCAAACTCAGTTTCCCACCCATAGCTGGTGGTGATGAGGGGGCGTTTCATACATCTCAGCATCTGAAGTGAAGATACTGTTCATTTGTGTAACAATTCTCCAAGCATTTTATGATACTGCCTTCCCATTTCAATTTGCAGTTTAAATTTCTGTAAATGATAAATTTATCTATGTTTAAAAGCACACAGCCTTTGGTGAAGATGTTGCATATTAATATTATTATTGGGGAAGAGCCTTGGTGGCACAGTGATTAAGCACTCGACTGCCAACCCAAAAGTCTTTGGTTTGAACCCAACTCACCAGCTGCTATGCAGGAGAAAGATGCCTGGCAGTCAGATTCCTTAAAATTTTCACAGCATTTGAAGCGTAGATTTCAGCCTTAGAACCTCTAAGGAGCAGTTCTCCTCTGCCTTTTAGTGTCTTTATGAATTGGAATGACTTCATGGCATTGGGTTTGTTTTGGTACATTATTGAGGATGTGATACTTTTGAGGATTTTTTTTTGAGGGGGAGTTTTTCTTTTTTCAGTAGTTCTAAGTGTTAAGGGACCATAGGATTATAAGGGTATGCTTGTTGCTTGGGACATGGAGTTAGATTTCTGTGAAGAGAACTCACAACAAGAAATTCTGGTCTGTCCTTAAGGGCAGTGTTACCATGGATTCCTGTTTTTAAGAAAGAGATGGTAAGAGTCATAGGGACCTAATGATGAATTAGTAAATATCTCGTTCAATGACTCTGTCTGCTGGAAAATAACTCTGCTGTGATTATTTATTTGCAATTAGAAAAATCAGTTAGGATCTTCTCTAATCTAATAAGTCTTGGGGTTCAAACAAAATTTGAACCTTACGGTCACTGAAATTTCCCTTTATTGTGTTTCCTTGAATTTTGTAAACTAAAATTCAACGTTATCTGTAAAGTTGCTTGTTTGGTTTTGAATTGACACTTTTTTCTTATTTATCTTTTCCTCCACAGAAATGAGCCACAGGTCATCCGATTTTGCTAAGATTATAAACACCACAGAGAATCTTGTGCGGGAATTGTTGTAAGTGAAAATTTGAAAGACTAAACTGTGTTACTTTTTATACCTCCTTACTCAGGCAGGGATCCATTACATTATTTTCTGTACTTGCTTTTCCAGAATATTCCATAACTAAATGTAAGGTTTTTAAGATTCTCTCACAGCCAGTCTTAGTACATGAAGCTTTTTAAAGAATAGACATTTATTTTCTCACAATTCTAGAGGCTGCTGTTGTCAGTTGCTGTGGAGTTGATTCTCCATCCTGGTGACCCCTCATGTCCACAGTAGAGCTTCTCCACAGGGGTTTCAAGGTTGTGACCTTCAGGAGGCAGGCCTGTCTTTTGAGGTGCCTCTCGTAGCGTAGTGGTTATGAATCGGCCTGCGAACTGCAAGTTCAGTTCAAAATTACCAGCTGTTCCGCAGGACAAAGATGAGGCGGAAGTTCCGTTCCTGTAAAGATTTTTAGCCTCGGAAACCCTGTACAGGGTCGCTATGTGTAGGAACCGGCTCCACAGCATACAACCACCACCACTGGGTGGTTAGAACTGCTAATTTTTCAGCAGTTGTTAAATGCTTAATTGTTTACACCACCCAAGGCCTCCTTTCTAGAGGCTTGTGGTGGTTGGTGGTGGCATGCCATTGAGTCAATGCTGACACTTAGTGATCTTGTAGAGGATTTCTGAGGCTGTTAATACAGAAGCAGAAGGCCTTATCTTTCTCCTGCGGAGCAGCTAGTAGATTCAAACTGCTGACCTTACGGTTAGCAGCCTAATGTGTAACCACTACTCTACCAGAGCTCCTTTTGTAGAGGCTAGAAATTCAAATTTAGAATATATGTTCTCTCTCTTTCAGAGCTCTAGGGTAGGTTCTTCCTTGTTTCTATCAGTGTTTAGCAGCTGTGGGTATTTGTGGATAGTCCTTAGCTTGTAGATAAATCTCTACTGTCTTTGCCCACTGTGTGACTCCATCTGTGTGTCTGTCTTCTTTTATAAAAGACCCCTCAGAAATGATTAGGACTAAGACTTTGGTGTGATCATTTAATTGATAACATATGCAAAGAAAAACCGTATTTCCCCAAAGTCAACTTTACTTATAGGGGTTAGGATTTTAACATACCTTTTTGGGGGATACACATTTGTTTTTCAGCACCGGGGGATTATACTGGCTTAAAAAGGATTTAAATGACAAAAACATGGTCATCTGATTCAGCATTAATTCACTATGATTATGGGTGGTGGTTCTTGAAGTATAGGCCTCTGCCAGAATCACCTAGTAGTTGGGGATGCGGAACGATCATTATCTGGAGGGAGGTGACAGAGGAAAGATAAAGACATAGGAAGACATGCGGGAGGTGGTGTAAGAGTTAAAGGCTGCTGTGTGCCACTGAATCAGTTCTGACTCACAGTGACCCTGTATAGCAGGGGTGGGGAACGTCTGGCCCTCGGGCTGTGTAAAGCTCTTTGAATCATTTAGTTTGGCCCTGCCAAGGTAACTGCAGTATCAGCCATCACGTTAGGGGTGAGTTAATTAAATGTTTGACCAGATATAGCAGGCTAATTTTGAAGTTGACAGTTTTATATGATCTGTGAATGATTTTATAAATTTTGGCAGAATAAAGCTTCCCCTTACGAATTGGGCTGCGAACCTTAAGGTCAGCAGTTCGAAACTACCAGTCGCTCCGCGGGAGAAAGATGAGGCTTTCTACTCCTGTAAAGATTTACACCCTTGGAAACCCTGTACAGGGTCGCTATGGGTCGGAACCGAATCAACGGCACTTAACAACAACAACAACAACAACAACCCCTGATATATGGTTTCAAGGGATTTCAAGGCTATAAATCTTTATATAGGGTTTCCAAGGCTATAATTCTTTAAAGGAGCAGAAAAGCCTCATCTTCCCCCCAGAGACGTGGCTGGTGCGTTCAAACTGCTGACCTTGAAGTTAGCAGTCCAACTTGTAACCCACTATGCCACCAGTGCTGCACGTTTTGTTGTTAAGTGCTGTTGAGTTGGTTCCGACCCATAGCAACCCTGTGTAGTGTTTCTGAGGTTCAAACTGACTTGTAGTCCAGTGCGTTAACTGGCAGCACCACACCAGGACTCCAATAAAATTGGAATTGTATTGATCATTACATAACTTACCTTTTGTATTTGTTTCCTAGGGCTGCTATAATAAAATACCACAAACTGAGTAGCTTATACGAACAGAAATTTATCATCTTGCAGTTCTGGAGATTGGGAGTTCAAGACCAGGGTATTGACCATGTTGACTCCTTTTGGGACTTTGAGGGAGATGTGCTTCATTCTTCTCTCCTAAGTTCTTATCTCCAGACTTTCCCTAGACCATGTTGACTCGTTTTGAGACTTTGAGGGAAATGTGCTTCATTCTTCTCTCCTAACTTCTTATTTCCAGACTTTCCCTAGAGTGTCACATGGCAATTTTCTTCTGTCTCCCTGTCTCAGTTTATTTTCTCTTTATAAGGACCCCAATCACAACATTGGAGGGAAGTCCTGGTGTGGCGCTGTGATTTAATATATCAGACTGCAGAGTTGTTTAAACTGCAAGGTTGGTGGTTCAAGCTCACCAGCTGCTCCTTGGAAACTCTATACAGCATCACTATGGGTTGGAATTGACTCAATGGCACTTAACAACAACAAAAATCACAGCATTAGGACCCACCCTACTCAGTATGACTTCATGCTAACCTGATAACCTCTTCAAAGACCCTATATCTAAACAAGGTCACATTCACAGGTTAAGACTTGGACCTACCTTTTTGGGGGACAAAATTGAATCCTTAACTTTTTCTAAATTGCCTTGATAAAATGATTCCAGTGGGATAGAATTGGTGATATTTATGTGAGGTGCATAGAAGCCCATTACAGCGGGAGTGTTCAGAACTGATGATCATTGCATGGCTTCCCATACCTATGTAGGGCCCATATAATTCACAGAATAATTTTTCTTACACAGAGGCTGGGGGGTTTGAACCTATCCCAGGAGATGCAGCATTTGACCCATGTGGCTATGAGCCTGTTCTGACTCCTGGGTCTCAGACTAGTTTACTCACCTATGTGTTCTTCTTCTAACCAAATTTCTACCTTGTATCTCTGTAACTGGAGTCACACAATAGAAAAGTATAGGAGTGAATTAGGAGCTCAAATACTGTCAAGAAGGTCCCTTTCTCTATCTCCTGTCTTTTACGTATTAGCTTAACTCAATGGCATACTTTTTGTTTTGAGAGTTGCTACTTAGCAGCATTCTTTCATTTTTTTTCATGTTTTATTGTGAATTATATGATATTTGACATGAGAGAACTTTAGTTTTACATTCATTCCATCGTATATCATCTCATTGCCATGGTTCCAATTCCCTCAATGCATCATCAACCGACCAAAGGGTATACCCTACAAACCCGCCCCCTACACTCTCCCCCCTCGCCCCCGCAGTCTTCAGTACACAGTCCGTCTCCCTCTCTGGATCCAAAGTCCCCCATCCGCTTCATCACTCCACGTCATCGTCTCTGCCTCTATCTCAGGCCTCGCTGCTTCTCTGGGTAGGGTCCCTTCTCGGCTCTTCTCCATTGATGGTCCTAGAGACCTCCGCTCCTAAACTGGAGAGTTAACCACTCCCTTCCTTGCTACAAAACGTCTACCTTTACGTTTCCAACCCTCACAATTAGTCCTGATAACAATCATTCACTATTGTATCACAAGTGACCCTTCTGCATTTCATTTCATCAGCTGCGCCTAGACAGATTGGATAGTACTCACTGGAGATTCTGCCTTCCTCCATGTTCCTTAGCTCTAGGTTCCCTCTTGAAAGCTTGTAAGCCAGTCACTTCTTGTCAATGGCATACTTTTGCTTCATGGAGACCAAGATTACCACCCATGGTTGCAGGCCTAGCTCCTAAGTTTATTCTTAACTTCAACTGAAATTGTTCTTCATTCTAGAAGTGCAGTCAGATGTCTCAGAACTAAATCCCATTGGCCAGCTTCAGTCATGTGCTTTTCTTCTGGAGTTGGGGTTGACCACAGTGAGCCATGGTTCTGAGAATGCCAGAGGATGGTTTTCTAAAGGAAAAAAAACAAGTGTTGTTAGTAGGAAAAGGAGAAATCAATTTTGTCCATTCAGTAACTATAAGCAGCCACCATTGTGCTTTGTAAACAATTGCTAATGGAATGAATAGATAAATAAGTGAATGGGGAAGACAAAGTTAGAAGTCGTGGGATTTTAGTACACTTCTTGTAAATCCACCCAAGGTAAAGCACTGGCATTCTGAATCTCTGGTCATGTGAGTCAGTGTATAACTTCACCTGTGCTTCTTTCCAGAGCTGTTCCGGATAACTACAAGGTGATTTTTGTGCAAGGAGGTGGGTCTGGCCAGTTTAGTGCTGTCCCCTTAAACCTGATTGGCCTGAAGACAGGCAGATGTGCTGACTACGTGGTGACAGGAGCTTGGTCAGCTAAGGCTGCAGAAGAAGCCAAGAAGTTTGGGACTGTAAATATCGTCCACCCCAAACTCGGAAGCTATACAAGTAAGTGATGGGAGCTGAGCTGGATGGAAATTACTGATTGGTAGTAGGTGTTTTTAATTCCTCCCTCCCCTTGACACTTACTAGTTTGGTAATAGTGTGATTGACTGCACTATTTGAGACTATTAATTGACTTGTGCAGAAAGATGGGCTCATTTAGCTGAAAAGTCCAGGGTCTGGCTTTAGGTGTGGCTTGATCAAGTGCTCTAACAATGTTTCTCTCCCTGAGAGCTTCACGATGGACTGCAGTTTCTCCCCATTTCAATACCCTTGCCTGAACATTTGCAATAACAGCCTGATGTCTCGTGTGCCTGCTTCTGGATCATCACTGTGCTTTGCATTAGTCACGTTCTGTGTGGGATCAGCTCCGCGGAAGCCACATGCACTGCAAATCAGGGAGGGTGGGGGCCCTACGAGGAAAACACTGGCCCGCCAGTGAATTGGATGGATTCTGAATGATAAGAAATAAACTAAATAATTACCATGTCATTCTTGGAGACTTTTTGCCCCAAATAACAGTCATCCTTTAAGGACATTGGCTATGGTTCTAACACAAGGTTGTTATGTATTTTTACTTGGGAAGTGCTTTGGAATAATTAGTTGATTTTTTTAGTTAAAAACATTTTTTTTTACTGCTGGTGGGGGTTGCTATCAATGTCCTGGTTGATTCCTATCTGTATAAGGAAAGGGGAGTAAGTGTGGAAAGTATCATACTTTTCTTCTGTGATAGAAATTCCAGATCCAAACACCTGGAACCTTAACCCAGATGCCTCTTACGTGTATTACTGTGCAAACGAGACCGTGCATGGGGTGGAGTTTGATTTTATACCTGATGTCAAAGGTGCCGTGCTGGTTTGTGACATGTCTTCAAACTTCCTGTCCAAGCCCGTGGATGTTTCTAAGGTAGCGTATGAGAGACTGCTGTGGGGGAACCCACTGTCTTGGTGTATTTAGAGGAATTTTAATATATGCTACTCGTCGATGCTTTTGGAGTTGAAGTGGGCATAGGCAAAATAGGCCTCTTTTGTTGTTGTTGTTGTTTGCTGTTTTTAACTGTTAATGTCAATTGGGTGAAGATTTACAGAGCACATGATCAGTTTCCATTAACACTTCATTTTGTTTCATCTCTCTGAGTTTGCAACCTCTTCAATGTAATAGCACTTATCCTATTTCCTCCCTCTTTCCTAACCCTTCTGAAGGGATGGGGCGCTTCTCATATGCGCTCAGAGCTTGGATAACGGGTCAGTGGTGATGGCTCAGTGGTAGAATTCTCCCCTTCTATGCAGGAGACCCAGGTTTGATTCCTGGCCAATGCACCAGATGTGCAGCCACCAAATATCTGTTAGTAGAGACTTTCAGTGGAACTTTCAGATCAAGACAGACTAGGAAGAAAAGCCTGGCAATCTACATCCAAAAATCAGCCAGTGAGAACCCTATGGGTCCCAACAGTGAGATCCATATCAATCCTGGGGATGGTGTGGGACTGGGCAATGTTTTGTCCCATTGTGCATGGGGTTGCCATGAGCCAGATGATTCACTAACAGGATATGAAAGGCACAACAGTCTGGAGCCAGCAGACACTGAAATAGGGTCTGTGGACCGTGTTTGTTTATTACTAGTTATAGAAATATAAAAATACTGACATTTTCAGCCCCGTGAGAGCGAACTGCCTACCAGAGACTAACTCAAGCCCTTGATGAATTTACTGCCATTGACAGTGGTGGCTCTTAGGGAACGTTTTAAAGTAACTTGCTGTATTCAGGAGAGGATGTTTATCATCCAAGCTCATATGTGGGGGCTATGTGAAAGAGCCACATCTTGCCTTATACCCAACTCGACTCCCAAAGCATCTGCCAGACACACTGAGGGTGAGGCTGTGGAAGCAAGCTATACAGGTACGTGGAGTAAGTGGGTACTATATCTGTCTGTGAAGAATATGAAAACAAGCCCCCCAAAAAGGCAGCCTGCTTTTTCTTATCACCAGATACTGTTGTTAAATGCCGTCAAGTTGATTCCGACTCATACTGACCCTACAAAGAGTTTTATAGGAGCAGAAAGTCTCATCTTTCTCCTGCAGAACAGCTGGTAGTTTTGAATTGCTGTCCTTGAGGTTTGCAGCCAGACTCGTAACTACTGTGCTTCCAGAGCTTCTTAAGGCATGAATAGAAATGTGAATGTTGTTGTTGTTAAGTACCGTCGAGTTGGTTCTGACCCATAATGACCCTGGTACAGGGTTTCCAAGGCTGTAAATCTTTACAAGAGCAGAAAGCCTCATCTTTCTCCTGAGGAGTAGCTGGTAGTTTCGAACTGCTGACCTTAAGGTTCGCAGCCCGATTCGTAACCACTACACTACCAGAGCTCCTTAGAAATGTGAATATCTGTTGTTAAAGTGCTGTTAAATCGCTTCTGAGTCATGGTGACTCTGTATAGGGTTTTTGAGACTGTAAGTTTTTTTGTGTGAACAGAAAGCCTTGTCAATCAGGACATAAAAATGGTGCAGACAGAGATCCCATAGCCTGGTAACTCTGAAGTACTGATTCACTGACTCTGATAAAGGCCTTCTTTAAGGAACTACAATGTGCTCTAAATAGTAACAGTCCCTTCCTTAGAGAAATTGAACTTTGGAAAGAAGGTTGGAAAGCTTGAATAAATTTGTGGAAAATGATCAAATGCTCATCTCCCCCTCCCCATTTATTTATTTATTTTTTTAAGTTTGGGGTGATTTTTGCTGGCGCTCAGAAGAACGTGGGCTCTGCTGGGGTCACAGTGGTGATCGTGCGTGATGACCTACTGGGGTTCGCTCTCCGGGAATGCCCCTCCGTCCTGGAATACAAAGTGCAAGCTGGAAACAGCTCGTTGTACAACACACCTCCATGCTTCAGGTAACTTCAGCACCCTGCCATAGGGACTGAGGGAGGGGCCTCACTACATCCCATCAAGGTTGAGAAGCTTTAATGTAGACTGTGCTTGCAGATCTGGTATGTCCCAGATAACCCATCAGGATTCTAACCACTTCACCTTCTCCTTATTTATCTTCTGTGCACTGTTTGATCAGCTCTTCTTGCCCATTCTCTTCTTTTTTCCGTGGTGGTTTTTGTTTGATCTTGGATAGTCCTGGCTCTGCTGGTTCACTATTAACCCACAAGCTGTCACAAATGCAGAGGCGTGCATCCCAGATAACTCGTTCAATTCTGAGAGGAGGGACTTGGAAAGATTGGACCTCTTTGGCTTTCCTTTCTCTCCCTGCTGAGCCTGCATGAAGCTGGCTGCTTTACATTGAACAAGCAGACTAGGAACACTCTTCTGCTTTGTAGCCCAATAGACTAGGGTCCTCTTAGCTCGGCTTCCCTTTAGCTGAGTGGGAGGAGCCACTGCAGCACTTCCAGAAACAGCAAGCTTGCCTGACCCACAGCTTTTAAGATCTGTGACTCAGGTAGTTTCTTAAGATCTTCATGACCCCTCACACCTAACAACTGTCTGAGAAATCCTACTGCTGACTAGCTGTGCGGCTTTGGTCAAGTCACTTAACCAATCTGGGCAGCAGTTTTCTCCGGGAATAAATAACAGTAGTACCATCTTCATTAGGTAGTTGTGAGGGTTGAGTTGATAAAATCAATGCATTTAACCAGTTGCAGTTGAGTTGCCTCCAACTCATGGTGACCTCATGTATGTATGTGGAGAATTGTGTTCCATAGAGTTTTTTGAAAGTAGATTGCTAAGCCTTCCTTTCAAGAGGGCTATGCGTGGACTTAAACCTCCATCCTTTATTTTAGCAGTCAAGTGCTTAACTGTTTATATCCTCAGGGATTCTAGTTAATGTAGTTAGTGGAAATGTTACAGTTTATGGATTTATCTTCCCAGGGAAGCTATGAGTTATGATGTAAACAATGATACTTTATTTATTTATTTTTTTAAAGGTTTTTATTGTGGATTGAGTGAGTTTACAGGGCACATCATCAGTTTCACATTCAACCATTCATATGACTTGTTTCATTACATTGATTATAATCCCCTCCATACATCATCTGTCAACAGTGTTTCTCTCTATCCTCTTTGGCTTTTTTTTGGTGGGGCAAAACTTTGCCATTTTGGAATTTACAATCTCGGCTTTTAGGGAAGGTTTTTACATTTATCTGTGGATATCGATACTTTATTTTTAACCATTGCTTTCAAGTCAGTTTTGATTCATGGTAACCCCGTGTGTTGAATAGGGCTGCACTGTAGGGTTTTCTTGGCTGTGATCTTTATGGAAGCAGATTGACAGGCATTTTCCCCAATGATGCTATTGGGTGGGTTTCAACTGTCAACCTTCTTTAGGTTAGTTGTCAATTGCAAACCATTTTCTTAGTCTTCCCAACAACCCTACCTAGTAGATACTATTCTACGCTCAGTTCATATTTTTGGTAATGCCATTAATACCGGGTTGGGCTACAGTAGACTAGAAAGTCATGAAATATAGTATGTTGATGGTGAAGTGCCGTCAAGTCGATTCTGACTCATAGCGATCCTGTAGAGGGTTTCCGAGGAGTGGCTGCGAAGTTTGAGCCACTGACCTTGTGGTTCAAACCAACCTTGCAGTCTAGTACTTTAATCCACAGTGCCACACCTGAGAGGTTTATCATTATTGTTAAGGGCCGTCCAGTTGATTCCGACTCCTAGCGACCCTGTATAGAGTTTCTGAGGAGCAGCTAGTGAGCTTGAACTGCCGACCTTGCAGTTCAACCCAATTTTGCAGTCCAGTACATTAACCCACAGCCACACCTTTGGGGGAGATGTGCCATAAGTGACAGCCTCTTGCTGCATACAGCCTGACATGTATTTACAGGCGGTTGTTTCAATTTCAGGGAGGCTGGCTTTCCTGTTTGTATATTTCCTCTCTCCCTTTTTCCCATGATGCACACTTTTTCCCAAGCTGAAGTTGTCAAAGACTTCGTTCTTCTTGGATCAACCATTAACACTCATGGAAGCAGCAGTCAAGAAATCAAACGACATACTGTATTAGGCAAATCTGCTGCACAAGATGTTTTTAAAGTGTTGAAGAGCAAAGATACCAATTTGAGGACTTAGGTGCATCTGACCCAAGCCATGGTATTTTCATTATCTTAACATGCATGTGAAAGTTTGACAAAGAATAAGGAGGACCATAGAACTGATGCCTTTGAGTTATGGTGTTGGAGGAGACCTTTGAAACCATGGGTCACCAAAAGAACAAACAAGTATAGTCAGAATATTCCTTAGAAGCCAGAATGGTCAGACTTTGTCTCTCATATTTTGGACATGTTATAAGGAGGGACCAGTCCCTAGAGAAGGACATCATGCATGGTACATGGTAAAGTGCAGGGTAGAAGAAAAAGATGTGCCCTTAACAAATGGATTGACATCATTGCAGCAGCAATGGACTCAAGTACAGCAGTGATTGTGAGGTTGCTCAGGATTGGGCAGTGTTTCGTTCTGTTGTGCATATAGGGAGGCTATGAGTTGTGCATATAGGGAGGCTGTGAGTTGTGCATATAGGGTGGCTATGAGTCACCTTGAGGACTAAGGTACGCCTGACCCAAGCCATAGTATTTTCAATAACCTTGTATGGAAGCGAAAGCTGGACAGTGAATAAGGAAGATCGTAGAAGAATTGATGCCTTTGAATTGTGATGTTGGAGGAGAATACTAAAAGTACCATAGGCTGCCAAAAGAACCAACAGATCTGTTTTGGAAGAAGTGCAGCCAGAGTGCTCCTTGGAGGCCAAGATGACTAAACTTTGTCTCTCATACTTTGGACATATTGTCAGGAGAGAACAGTCGCTGGAGAAGGATGTCATGCTGGGTAAGGTGAAGGGTCACAGAAAAAGAGGAAGACCCCCAACGAGATGGATCAGCCAGGTGACATCATTGATGGCGTCAAGTGTGGCAGTGGTAGTGAGGTTGGCCCAGGATCGGACATTGTTTCGTTCTGCTGTGCATGGGGTCGCTATGAGTCGGTTCCAACTCGATGGAACCTGACAACAACAACATGAGTTGGTACCGACTTGATAGCACCTAACAACAACAATGAGCACACACATCTGGCATCCATGATGGTGTCAAGATGAATTCCATTGCAGAGGCATCTGGGATACTTGATATGACCAGTTTTGTGCCTGTGCTGAAAACTGTTTAAGGGGCAGGTTAATGTTAACAACACCCACTGTGTAGTTGGACAGGGAGGGAGGGCTCACAAACCCACTTGAAAAAACAAGGAGATAATTTTGTTTTCTCTTATCTCATTTATATCCTACTTGCCTGACAAAGAGATAGATTCAGTCTCTTGTTCACATCCTGCTCCTCTTTTCTTTGTATTTTGAGGATTATTTTATGGTTTTATTGATCTTTTCCCATTGCTGTTTTTCCACTGCTCCAGTAGTTTCCTCAGTAGATTTTCCCCTGTTCCCAAATTCTAACAGCATAGCTGGGATTTAACCCATGGCAGCCTGGCTTCCAGAGATGGGCTGTGTACCCTCTGTGCCCTGCTATATACTCCTATTCCCAAGCAAAATTCCCAGCATGGAGTTGTTTGTATTCAAAGGATTTAGTCTTAGGAAAATAGTGACTCCATCTTTCCCATTTAACAGAATATATCTGTGAGAGATGAGACCTTTCTAAAATGAGGGGACTTGAGTATGCAGTCAGTGGTTCCATCTGGGTCACAGTCTTTTCAGAACTCTTTCATCTAGCCACATAACTTTCCCTGGGAAAAAAGAGAGTGGTTTTCAAACTTAGAATGCGGACGGAAATTTCCCTTGGCTTTCCTCACAGCTCCCGTGATGCAGAGCAGCTCTCCATTTTGGGCCACCATGTCCCTCAGCAAATAGCATATTCTAGTTGCTGAGTAACTCTTGTTATTGTTGTTAAGTGCCATCCAGTCAGTTCTGCCTCATAGCAACCCACATAGGGTTTCTGAGGAGCGAGGGACTGGTGGGTTTGAACCACTGACCTTTTAGTTAGCAGTCCGGTGCTTATCTTACAATGCCACACCAGAACTCCTTAACTTTCCTCGTAACCTGTAAACCTCACTGTGTTTTAGTCCCCATTGAAAATGTTTCTAAAATGCACATAAAGGATTTGAGGGGGTGGCAAGTGATTCTCAGTGCTCTCATTGGCTGTTTCCCTCTGGGATTCTTGGCAATGGAAAAGCACCAATGCCTACCGGTCACACTGTGGTAGGAGGTGTCAGGAGATTGCCATGCCTGCCTGTAAGAACATGGGTTCTGGGCCTGCCTGCCAGTCAGGTGAGACCAAGGTTACCATTAACTAAGGAAGTGGGAAGTAGGGGATGAGGGGGTGAGAGGGCAGAGAGCACTGTCTGTGAAGTGTGATCAGGGCATAGCCTGAGGGTTGCAGTTAGAGGGCCCCTTCTCCAACAGTTATTCTTAAGCACATTTAACAAAACTTTCTTTTTTTTTTTAAGTTTTTATTGTGAACTGAGTGATAGTTTACATGGGAGAACAGTGGCTTTACACCATCGTTTCATTGCAGTGATTACAATTACAATCTCCTCCGTGCATCATAATTCCGACAGGATTTGCTTCCATTCCCTCTGGTTTTGTTTTGTTTTGTTTGGAGGGGGGTGTGCACAAAAACACTCAGGAATATGTAATAATTTAAACAACCAAAGGGCACGTTCTGCAAGTCTGCCTCATGGCATCTTCTAGTCGAATTCTGATTATTAAGCCTTTGAGGCTAAGTCAAATGAGTACTGTCTGCAAGTTTGGGCATTCTTGTGCGTCTCCTCTCACTTCATATCAGTTGGTTGCTTCACTCTCAGCTCTAGGCCTCTGTGGCTATGTCCTTGTCCATGGGCTCAGGAGCCCTCAGGTCTCACCACACTTTGGACCAACCAGCTCTTCCTC